ACATGCTAACATTTACAATGCTAACATTTACAATGCATATGTTAACTGTTTTTTTAAATATTATTTTTATTTGTTAAATTATTAAATAGCTTCTAAATAAATATGATTATAACAAAATATATATAATTAAAAGACAAAACACTTTTGGACACAAACTTAAGATTTTTTTATTATTTTAAGAGTAATTAAGTTATTTTAATATGCTAAAAATTAAAAAGATAAAAAAAGCATAGTTTATTTTTTTTGCTTTTAAAGATAATTAAATAGTTTTATTATAAAAAAAAAATACAGAAAAGATCATGTCACCAAGGTTGGTATTTTTTTTCTAGAATGACAAAATTGTTATCTCCCTGTTTCAATTCATAACGAACTGGGTCAATGCTAAAAAACTGACGGGTTTTAATTTTTTTTTTAAATAAGTCATTAAAACTTCAAATTAACCTGTAAACTATTCGACAATTCTCAACTGCATTCTTTCAAAAAAGTAATCTACGTATTCTTAAATTTTCAATTATTTCTCAAATGGGTGCTTTTTATCATGTTCGTTAAAAAAATTCAGTTGGGTTAGAGCATCCACTCTTCCTAGCTACATTTTTTTTTTTTTTCCATAGCATCCATGCTCTCTAGCTCTATGAACATTGCGCGCAACATATAGCGAGCATTTCAAATTTTTACTCCTGGCAGGGGAAAAAAGAAAGCAGCACACGGGGAAAGGTTGTTTTTCATCTTTAACACTAAAATTCAAGGAGGCACACACTTTTTATCTTTTCTCCAGCCAAAAGCATAAAATCTAATGGCAAGCACAGGGCCTGAACATGAACATAGAGTAGACGAGGAAGTCTTTGTTTTTGTGGGCTTTGTTGAATTTGAAGTGAAGAAGATGGTAGGAAACGATTTCAATCCATGGAAAAAAAATTGTCTTCTTCCATGCTGCAGAGGAGGTTCGAGAATCTTTGATGTGCATGTTTTCATTTCATTATTTACATTCTATATGTTGTTTGGTTCAACAATTTGGTTGATGGGTTTGTTCGATTTCTCCAGTTTATGGGTTATGGTTATGATCTGGGTATAACTATAAATTATATTTTGAATTGGGTTTTGCACGCTGCACACTGAATTGTTAAGATTGACAATTACGCTGATTTCTCTCTCTACTTGCGCAGTCGCACGAGAAATTTTCCAATTACTGATCCTGATTTCTCTCCCTACTCCCCTGGCTTAGTTTGCGTCTTTGATGTTACTGTAGAGAATTGGTTTAGTGACTTAAATTCTGAATCTTAAACCACCATGAGTTCTAGTTATTAGAGTTGTGGTATGGAGTTTATGAGTCCCTCAATTCTTCTACTCGGTGTCATATCATATCTCATATAACTAACAGAGCTTTGTGGGTTTTGTTGCCTGACAGTAGAGAAGATGGGGAGGGGACCTTGTTATGATAAAAATGGAGTAAATAAAGGACCCTGAACTCCCGAAGAAGACCAGCTCTTGGCTTTGGCGTGGATTTTGAAAGGCAAATGGCCCTTCTTGATGGCAGGTGCACTGTTGGAAGGGGTGGTGAACGCAATAACGACACCAATTGAGAGGGAAAAGTAAGCTGTTTCTTTATGACTTGTCCTAGCGCTTGTTATCCCTTTGTCTGGGTGGTTGGTTATGTTTGATTCATAACTTAAGAAAAATAAGATTTTTGGTTTGTTTTGTTTTTTAACCTAAAGTCGATCTGCATTGAAACTTATTATGCTTTCGTGCTTAGCAATACCCAGAAAAGGCATTTGTTAATATTACTAAAAAATATATAATAATTTTACTTGAAAACAAATTTAAATTTGTATAGTTATTTAATGAAATAATATTCTAAATATAATCATAATTATTCTATTTTAAAGAATTTTAATCAGATTTTTTGAAAAAAAAAAAAAGGATCATCTAAGAAGAGTTGATGTGGTTGGCTTTGATGAGTTAAAAGTCTGTTTGATAATGCGATTTAAATTTTTTTGTTTAAAATTTTTTGATGTTTTCAAATTGTTTTGATATATTAATATTAAAGATAATTTTTTAAAAATAAAAAAATATATTTTTAATATATTTTTAAATAAAAAATATTTTAAATTATAATTATTATTATATTTTTAAATATATTCAAACCTCTAGCTTAAAAAAAAAAAAAAAGAAGTAAAACAAATATGAGCTTGCGAGGCCAAGCTCGTATCTTTTACCTTCTATTATTTTTATTATTCTTTGTGTTAAATTATGCAAGATGAGATTAGGCGTACCATCGTATTGTTTGCCAAATGCATAAGGGTTAGAATAGTGTATTTTTGTCTAAATCTTCAATTTGGTCCTTTTAACCTTCTTTTTTATGCGCAATTAAACTTTTTTAGTTCAAATTAACACTTAATTGCATATTATTTTTTAAGAAAGGATTGGGTTGAAAGATATAGGACCAAAGTGAAAAGAAAGTGTAAAATAGATGATGACTTCAAATTTCCTACAAAAAATTTATTTTAGTTCTCTATCTTTTTTGTTTTATAGCTAATTAGTCCTTTTAGTTGTCAAAAATTTAGTTTTGGTGTCAAATTACATTTCCCTAATTTTTAGTCCTATTTTATAAGAGGAAAAAGTGAGGACTGTTGGATTTTAGCATAGATAGATAAAGTTATTATTAACAACAATTCCGACAACAAAAATAGTAAAAATCAGTGTCAATAAGTTTTGTTTCCCAAGAAGGGTTTCACGTTGGTGTTTTTTTCCATCTCCTTGCTCGATAAGGTGGATTTGTCTATATGCATGCATGTTGATTTTGGGTTTTTGATCCTTTTTGGATTTATTAAGGTTATAAATAAATTTATAAAGATATTTAAAGTATAAAGTAAGTTGAAAATAGGTTTTTGGATAAAAAATCGAGCTCTTGTTTTTTTAATCACCACTAATAGTAGGAATTAATAGAAAAAAAAAGCATTTCCCTTCTACTGCACTGGGTTCGAGCCCTAGCGTGCATGTTTGTCATCCCCGCGGTGTCTTACATGCTTACTGGGTTTGCAAGATATTCAGTGGACCGTGAAAATTAGTCGTAGTGCGCGCAAATTAACCCGGACACCCCACATAAATCAAAAAAAAAAATAAAAAAAAATGATGTATCCTTTACTATTTTTTTTAAACAAATATAAGACGAACAATTATCTCTTAAAAAATTAAAAACAAGCCTAGGAATACGAGTTGGACTTAAATGCATGATTTTTTTTAATGCCCACACACATGAGACCACTGGACCCACACTCATGGGCTCCTTTTAATTCTTTTATTTATGTTGCTATTTTATACTTCGATTAAAAAATTAATAAAAAACTTATTGAATATTGTTAAATCTATAAGTGGGGTCATATATCTAATGGGCTAATCCTTAACATCCAAACTATTATTTGTTTTTTGTTTTTTATGGTTTAATGCTTTTTCCCTCATAATTAATTTTTAAAAATATAATTTTATTCTTTATTATTGATAATCTATTTTTATATTTAAATCAAATATAAAATAATACAATCTCATCATTTCTTACCAATAATCTACATTTTCTATCTTGACCCCACATGTCTTTCATTTTTTTTAATATTATATATAAAAAAATAATCATGCATTTTATTGTTATATAATTAAATGAAAAATAATTTATAAGATACAAAATTTATTGAATCTAATAATATACATTACTTGCATCATAAGTTTATTTTGTTGGTTCAAGTTTGCTTATTTTTTTAATTAAATATTATTTTTATCGATTTTATTTTTTAATATTAAGTTAATTCAAGATTAAGTTTTTTAATTTATTTTTTTAAAATTATCTCCATAAAGTTTTCATATCAGCCTAGATTAAATTGGATCAAATGTTTTTTCATTTAGATAAAAATCTCGTTCAATTATGATTAAAATTTATGTTTTAGAAAACATGCTACTAGTACTTAAACAATTTTTTTTTGCACTTAATTTTTTTTTTTTAACCAAACGATGTAGCATTTGCCAATGGGCTAATTAACAAAAACTAAAAGGGACAATGCTTTTACCATACACTACCTTATATAAACACTCTTCATTGCAGTAGTATTTTTTTTTTCCTCTTCTTTTTTATCTTTATTTTTTTAATACATGTTTTTTACCTTAATTTTACCCAATAATATTTTGTTTAATTAAGATTGAACTACATGATTTGTTTTTGTTTTTCATGTGCTTAATTCGGTTGCATGAGTCATGTCATCATGAGTTTGGTAGCTTAATATAGTAGATTTTATTATTTTTTTTAATTAATATTTTTTATTTTATTTTTATTTTTCAATATTAGATTTATTAAGAATTAAGTTTTATAATTTATTTAAGTTTTATTTTTATAAAGTTATTTCGATCTCATGATTTAGATTATAAATTTGTGAGTTAACTCATATAAACTTTAGTCATTTTATAATGTCTTTTTTTATATTGATTTATTTTTTAATTTTATTATTTAATAATAAATTTATTAAAAATCGAGTTTCATATTTAATTTTAATTTATTTTTTTATATGGTTATCCTATTATCATCATCCGGTGTTCGGCTTTGACAAGTTAATTGGAGTTAATTTGAATTGTTTTTTATTTTATTTTTTATTTTTTTAATTTAATATTAAATTGAATGAAAATTTAGTTTTATAATTTGATTTGATTTGCTTTATATAAGATTATTATAGTTTTTAGATCATTTTAATATTTTGATATAAAATATAATTTTTTAAAAATAAAAAATTATTATTTTAATATATTTTTAAGTAAAAAATAATTTTAAAAATAACAACTAATATTTATAATATCAAAAATAATTTATTAAAATAAAAAATATTATTTTAATATATTTTAAAATAAAAATATTTTAAAAACTAACCGATCAACATTCACAATAATCCAAACTAAATTAAAGTAATAAAACCCAATCCACCTAGTCAAATCAAAATCAAAATAAACACTTCCATCATCTCTCTCTCTCTGTACAAAGCCCAAAGTCCCTCTGCTATCAAATCTCTCAGCGACTTCACCCTCCATTTATCCGTTCACCCCCTCCCTCTCTCTCTCTGCTTTGTCGCTCTTTTATATGGTCATCTACGATTACTCTCTCACTTTTTATACCAATTCCAATCCCACACGTTCTTTCCATTTCTCTTTCTCAACTCTTCAACATCAAAGCTCAAAACCCTTACGGTTATACCAACATCAACAACAACAATAATAATCAGATGATTCATAATGGAGAAGGGACCCACGACACCATCCCGAGGCCCACATCTTCTGATCCGTTCGGTTCTATCAAACCGGACGGTGGTGATGCATCGCCTGCATCAGCATCACAGCATTCCTCACGTGGAGAATCGGAGTTCGAGCGGTACTGTAGCGCCACCTCAGTTATGGGCACACCTCGTATTTGTAGTGGTTCGTGTGATCCTTCTTTTAATGATTGTATAAAGTCTGATTTTGGGCCCTTAAAAAGTTTGGATGATTTTAGCGTGGGGCTGAAAAGTTTCCATTCTGGGTTTGATGATAATGAGAACTTGGAGGATCAAACGCTTTCAAATTCGGGTATTGATTGTTTAGATAGCAGTTTTGAAGAAAATGGGATTGATGGGTTGGAAATTCGTGGTAGTGAAATGGACATTAAGCGGGAGAGTGTTCGTTTGGGAATTGGGAATGGAGAGAATGATGGTTGTTTAAGTGTGTTGGATGTGGAGGTGGGTTTGGGGTTTGATGGACGGGAAGTGGAGAGAGGGGAAGATGGGGGTTCGTCTGGATATGGCTATTCTGAAGATGATGATTCGATGTATGGATGTGGTTCGGATGATGAGAATAGGAAGAATTTGAATGTTCGGAAGAATGTGTTGCTTGGTGAGGAAGGGAAAGTTGGTGATGCGAACCCGTTGATTATGAGTTCATCTGTGGCTTTTGGGTCGGAGGATTGGGATGATTTTGAGCTAGAAACAAGGGGAGGCATTGGAGCTTCTTTTACCTTGGATAAATTTCAGCAGCAGGAGCAGGGTCAGGAGACTGATGGAAACTTTTTTAGTTCTACTTCTGTGGCTTTGACTGTGGTTCCAGTTGTTGGTGAAACAGAAATAGGGAAAGGTTTGATGGAGGAACATGCTGGCATCAGAGACAGTGCAGCTGATGGTTCAGGAGAGAAGCTCAATTCTGCTACTAAGGTCCCTTTTTGTGTACAGAATTCTGTGGTGGACCAAGTGGAAGATGTGAGAGACATTCCTGTAGCCAGTTGTCAGGTGCAAGGTGGTCATGAATTAGCCAAAGATGATAAAGGTACCTCGATCGTGCCAGTTGCTTTTCCAGGCTATTGTGAACCACAGGAAGATGTTAAAAATATTTCTTTTAACTGCAATCAAGTCCAACGTGCTAATGATACAACAGAGCTTTATAAAAATTGTCCTGTCAGTGGTGTCTTTGAGGTGGAGCCGGAACCTCTGGTAGAAAAATCTCCCATAGGGTTAGGAATGGATTTTACAGATCATCATGTGGATGATCTGAATACATTGGAATGGATTTTACAGATCATCATGTGGATCTGAATACATCTTTGAAATCCGGGGAAGTTGTTTGCACTAATGACAACGTAACTTTGGAAAATGAAGAGGCTGGGAATTTAAAAGTAGAGGCAGACCCCTTTTCTGATACAACCAATCAACTTTGTTCCCGCACAGCTGAATATTCAGAAAATGCAAGTGCAGAATTCTTTGTGGACCAAAAACTAAATTCAACCCAGTCAATGCTTGAAAATAGCATGAAGAAAGCATCAGGAAATGCTCCTGGTTCTGTGATTCCTTACAAAGACCATCCTGCGGTGGTTAAGGTTAGTCTCTAAAGGTTACTTAGTGATTATTTTCTTCACGGGTTTGCATCTTTTTTGCTGGTTTACTGATGTTTCTTCAACAACTCTCCTAAGTTTATAAACTATAAAATCGATTTGTAGATGTTTATTAGATGTTTTGTTGTGGATGCTTGGTAATCATATATAGCACACAGAAAATAATCTTTCAAGGATGGAAATGGGAAGCACGGATGCTTTTGACAAATTGACTTTCATTGACTGCATGGTAATGTATCAAGTAACATGTTTTACATGTTCGTTCTTCTATCAAAACTCAGTTCCAGAATCTGGCTTGTGTGTATTTAGGAACACGGCTATGTTTTAAGTATCTATATATGTTTTACTGCTGATGTTGTCAAACTTTATACCAGTGTTTGCATGTGAGTATGTGTACTGAGCTCCATTGGAAAATCAAACTCCCTGCCAAGCCTGTGAGCTCTAGAATGACGCATACTCTCATAAAGCATCAAGTTGCAATTTATAATTGGTGTTTCTTTTACATTTTAAGTAATAGCATCATGTTGGCAATTTAGAATCTTTGTAGCTTTCATCATGTTAGTATGTGTTTGGAAGAGTTTTAAGCAATACAGAAACCATCTGTTGCAAAAGTATATTTTTCAATATCTATGTTTTCCACTGGTTAACTGCCTCTCTTTTACTTTTGCATATTTCTCTCCATCGTGGCTCTCAAGTTGCTTGTTAAGATGCTTATATTCCTATCTGTTTCTGAATTTTCTTGGCAGGCAGAGGCAGAGAATTTTGAGCTCATTGAATTTTACGATGAGATTGTTAATGAAATGGAAGAAATTTTACTTGATTCTGTTGAGTCTCCAGGGGCCAGGTTTCCTCGGGGTAATCACATGTTTCAGTCACAGCTATTAATGTCAACTGCTTCTACTTCTGGTACTGATGAGGCTTATATGCTAATTACACAGCCACAGAGAATTGATAGGGTTGAAGTAGTAGGTGCAAAGCAGAAGAAGGGAGATGTCTCACTTAGCGAAAGGTTGGTTGGAGTGAAGGAATATACTGCATATATAATAAGGGTATGGAGTGGCAAAAACCAGTGGGAGGTTGAACGCAGGTATCGTGATTTCTATACACTCTATCGTAGGCTGAAATCATTATTTGCTGACCAGGGCTGGACTCTTCCTTCTCCATGGTCCTCTGTGGAAAAGGAATCTAGAAAAATATTCGGAAATGCATCTCCAGATGTTGTTTCTGAGAGAAGTGTTCTTATTCAGGAGTGTTTACATTCAACTATCCATTCTGGGTTCTTTTCCAGTCCCCCAAGTGCACTGGTTTGGTTCTTGTTTCCTCGAGATTCATTTCCTAGTTCCCCAGCGGCAAGAACACTAGTTCCTCAGTCTGTATTTTCTAACAGAGGGGAAGATGCAGGAAATATTTCCACTTTAGGGAAAACAATATCACTTATTGTTGAAATTCGGCCATTCAAATCTACTAAACAGATGCTAGAAGCACAACATTATACTTGTGCTGGATGCCACAGCCATTTTGATGATGGGATGACATTAATGCGGGACTTTGTACAGACACTTGGGTGGGGAAAACCACGACTTTGCGAGTACACTGGTCAGTTATTTTGTTCTTCATGCCATACAAATGAGACTGCAGTTTTGCCAGCAAGAGTTCTACATTATTGGGATTTTATTCAATACCCAGTTTCTCAGATGGCCAAGTCATACCTGGATTCCATCCATGAACAGGTAATTTGAAAAGTTGTCTTTCTGTTGTCATTTGTACAATCTCTGCATAACTAGGTGCTTCTAGATTGGATGAAATTGTTAAATTCGAGGGATAGAGAAATGGTTGACCCAAATCCATGAAAGTATGTTTGCCAAGCACGTCCTGTATTTGCTTACATAAATGCAATGGGTCAAAAGTCAATAGTAACTGATGATAGAAAGTCCAACTGTCTAGCATTTCCCTGGTTGTATTTGGTAAGGTTTAAGATGCTTGTAAAAATAATGAAGTTAAATGTGCACTCCATTCCAGGGTATCTGTTACATGCCTATATACTGGGAGATTCAATCTAATATGTGTTTCTTGTTAAAATTCTTCATTTAGATAATAAACACTCATGTTTATTGATGGCTTACAACTTAAAGGTGTTTTAGATTTTGTATTAAGCTTTATGTTCAATGCAAAGTTCTTGTCTAAGTTGCCAGATGCCCTTAATGAATTTTCTTTTGCAGCCCATGCTTTGTGTAAGTGCGGTCAATCCTTTCCTATTCTCCAAGGTCCCAGCCTTGCACCATATCATGGATGTCAGGAAAAAAATTGGAACTATGCTTTCATATGTTCGATGTCCATTCTGCAGGACCATCAATGAAGGACTCGGTTCTCGAAGATATCTTCTTGAAGGCAATGATTTTTTTGCCCTTAGAGACCTCATAGATCTCTCAAAAGGGGCTTTTGCAGGTTAACATCTAATCATAACTTCTATTTTAGTATTTTGGTGAGAAGATATTTCATCGAAGCTATGCTTTGTTGAATCCATTTATGTCTCCGCCCTTGTTTACACATGCAGAAGTCTCCAATACTACTATATATCCATGTTGATTTCTTTGCAAGCAGCTAGGCTGGATTTGAACACTTCTTTGTAATTGGCTGGTCTAGTTTTGTTTTTTCTTTTCCTAACTTTTGACATGCCTTTCCATTGAATGTCCCTTTCTCTCTGGTTCTGAAGTTTTATTTTTTTTTCCCACTGTTTGATATCATCAATTTCTGTAACATTATGGGGCAGTTTTTGCTTGTGTTTCTCTGGTGCATTAACTGACTCTTAACCATACAGGAATCTCACTCTTGTAATTTTTTCAGTCAAATAGGTTTCAACTATGTGAAATAAAATAGTAATCATGTGCCATTGATTATGCTTAACAACAACTAACATTTGCTTAATATGATTTTTTTAAAGACTTAATCTCCTCCTTTTATCACTTTTATACTTCTTTATTGAACCCTACATTTTTCTTTTGTCAGTGTAAGTGACATGCCTTAAGGATCCGTACATAGATATAGATATCTGAACTCTGTGTAATTGTGCAACCCTGTTTTTTATTCTTAAACTCGTCTCTATTTCTATTGCAGCGCTACCAGTGATGTTGGAAACTGTTTCAAGGAAAATCCTGGAGCATATAACAGAGCAATGCCTCATATGCTGTGATGTAGGAGTCCCCTGCAGTGCCCGTCAAGCTTGTAATGATCCATCCTCACTCATTTTTCCTTTTCAGGTAGGCATTAGCATAGAATAGCTTTGTTTAACGTCAGCATGATGAATGTTTTATGGAAAAAAATTTAAGATTTCCAGGCAGTGATGTATATCATAATCTAGTGAAAAGCCCTTCAGCTCAAGCACCAGAAAGTTGTCTCCTATATGGTCCTTGTAGCTGATAACTGAAAAGTTATCATAGATACGTTCTGACAGTTGGAAAACAACTTAAACAGGAAGGGGAAATTGAAAGGTGTGCTTCTTGCGAATCAGTATTCCACAAGCCCTGCTTCAGCAAGCTTACAAATTGCTCTTGTGGGGCACACCTCAGGACAGACGAGGTCTTGGAGTCAACCAATAGCTTGAGCCGTAAGGCCAGTGGTCTCATTCTGGGAAGGAGATCGGGCTCTGCTATGGGTCAAGGATTGTTCTCCGGGTTATTTTCGAAGGCAAATCCGGAAAAAGTGAAGGATCACAAGGATAATGATGCTATTATTTTAATGGGTTCTTTGCCAAGCAATTTTCTTTAATCACATGTGATTGTAGTGTACCTTGTGTATATTGTCTTTATTGTAAAGCGGCCTGGCACCTCGAGGTGGTGCCTGAACTAGCGGAAGTGGCCTATGTTGTTGTATCAAAAATTTTGAGGTTGGGTGAGGATTTTGTTTCTTGTTGATTCATTCTTTGTAAATATAACACGATTCATATGATTGATTGTTAACCTACTTATGGAATCGAAATAATGATTTCTGTATATTTTTTTCCCTTTTTTCTTTGGACCTTGCTGAAATGCAGCATCACCAACACCCTCTCTCTCTACAAACCAGTAACGAGAGAGACTATAAATAATAGGGAACCAACACAGAAAAGTGAGCAGATGTTAAATACCAAGTCTAGTCGTGAAATCAAACTAGGTGAGTTGAAGGATCTCATTAGTGGTTTTTCCTTCCAGCAAACACCAATCCTATAGGCATTGCAACAAACAGCTGGTGAGACTAGTGCTGACACAGATAAGTTCACTGCCAAGGATGATTATTCTGCTAAAACATGCGAAACATGTGAAGAAGGGGAGCTGCATCACAGGACTCATAGACCTAAACGTGATTTTCCCTGCTTTGATGGTAAAGATGTGCAAAAATGATTATATAAGCGCGATAAGTATTTTGATATTGAAAAGATGGATGATTAAAAGAAACTCAATTTAGCTTTATACTACTTCAATGACATTGCTCTATACTAGCATCAAAACTATACAAGAAGTTTGAGAGGTCTGAAGGTAACTTGGAATGAGTATGTTGAAACTTTGTGTGCCAAAAGGTAAGAAGAATTCACTTAAGGATCATATAGATTTAAGACAAATTTGTAGCACAGAAACATACATTCAAGATTTCAATATACCGTGGAACAAGATGAAAATTAATGAAAGATAAGTTATGGTGTTTTTCATAGGAGGTTTGAAGGTAGAAATGAAGAATATAGTGAAGATGTTTGAACCTAAAATTCTAAAGCAGGCTTACAACCTTGCTTTTCTGCAAAATAATATTTTTACCTCTAGAAAACCACACATCAACAATACAATTAATACTCTACCCATGATATTATTCAAATTGCTCAAGTCAAAACCCATGCACCACAAACATATCCTGAAAATACATTTCTCTTAAACACCAACAACTCAAAACCACCTTAAAATAGCATACTTTCTACGTCAACATACAATCCAACCCTGAAACCTAACAAAAATTTGAGAACTTAAGGGGAAAAAAAGGTAAAAGATTATGCATTTAGTGTGATGAGAGGTTTGTACAACGTCATAAATGAACAAAAGGTTGCCTTCACTATGCAATATGGAAGATGAAGAGGATAATGAAGAAGTAGGTGGTGAAGGAATAAAATGGAGTATGAATCAATCAATCTTCGTATACATTTCATTGCATTGAAGGGTATAATTGGTTTCCATACATTTAGAGTGACAGATAAGGCTAATAAATACTTTATTAACATTGATAGGTTCTAATAGTACCTATAATTTTATCAACATAGAATCAACTATTAAGTTTCAAACTAATATAACTCTAATTAAAGCTCTAATAGTGAAAACAACCAATGGTAGAACTATAACTTGTATTACCGTTGTCGAGACTTTAAATGGAGGATGCAAGGGGTTATTGATTTTATAGTTGACATGTTCATTGTGAATTTAAACAACTATAACATAGTATTGGACATTCAATGGTTAAATATCTTAGATAATGCTGTGTTTAATTATAAGAAACTATGGATGTTTTTTAAGTGACAGGGTTAAGATGTACCATTGAGAGGTATTGAATCTGCTAAATTACAAACTATTAAATTGGCAGAACCTAACAACTTGCTGGAAAGTTTCTCATAATCGGCAAAAATGAGCTTATGCAACCTGAGGATAATGAAGGACAATGATAACTCTATATGGTTTATCTCAACTTCATTATCAAACACTATATAAGGAAATTTGGCTTTAAAAGGAGTTACTAGTGAGTAAAAGGAGTTACTAGTGAGTAGTTCAAACCTTATCAGAAACCATGAACGCACTATTAATCTAAAAGAGGAGGCTCGATTAGGTAGCTTCGAACCCTATAAATGCTCTGAGGGTATAAAAAGATATTTTAGAAAAAAATTGTGAAAAAATGATAAATTCAAGTACCATTCAACAGAGCAATATCTCTTTTGCTTCTCTAGTTTTAGTGGTCAAGAAAAAGGATGATTATTAGAGACTTTATGTAGATTATAGAACTCTCAATAAACTTATCATTAAGGATAAGTTTTCAATAACCTTAGTAGATGAATTGCTAGAGGAATTGATGAGTGCAATTGTGTTATTAAAGGTGGGCTTAAGAACTAGTTACCCTCAAATTAGGATGGCATGTAAAGATATGTTTAAAACTACTTTTCAAACTCATAACGGATAATATGAGTTCTTAGTAATATTGTTTGAGTTAACTAACATCTTTACCATCTTTTAAAATTTAATGAATGAGATATTCAGAAAGAATCTAAGAAAATTTATACTAGTGTTCTTCCATGACATTTTAATCTATAATCATTCACTTGGGAAACTTGCAAACAATGTTTGAGTTGTTAAAGCTATATCAACTAGTTGCTGAGGGCAGTCTGTGTGTTTGATAGTCACCAGGTGGAATAGTTGGGTCATGTAATATCTCAAGAAGGGGTATCCACTAACTCTAAAAAGATTCAGGTTGTCATGGATTGACTTGAACGTCAAGCAATTACGTTGGTTTCTAATGTGAAGAAATGCCGTACTTGTCAAAGAAACAAGGGCGCGAATGTCCTAACTCCTGGTTTATTACAACCTCTCCCAGTTCAAGCATCTTTTGTTTATATTAAGCATGGATTTTGCGGAGGGATTACTCAAATCCAAAGGGAAAGAAGTTATATTAGTAGTGGTAGATAGGTATGCTAAGGCCCTTTTAGAAATATAGTTTAAATTGTGTTATGTCAAAAAATAATTTTTTAATTTAAAATAATTTTCATATTATTTTAGTATGATAATATCAAAAATATTTTTTTAAAATAAAAAATATTATTTTAATATATTTTTAAATAAAAATTACTTTAAACTGATTATTTTAATAATTTTTAAATAAAAATTACTTTAAACTACAACAACCACCACAATAATATCAATCACACTAAAAATATTCTCATTTTCTTTTCCTATTCTATTCTTACGTTGCTACAATTGTGGCTACTGTAAACCCTGGTTAGAACTCTTCCAAGTTAGTAAAATATTAAAATCTAATATGGAGATAGAATAGGTTAAATTAAATTAAGGAAATCATTGAAAAAATAATAGAATTGAAAGAAGAGATGAGAGAAAAAGAATTTCTCATCTAATTTCTTCTAGTATCACTACGTAGTTACCACTACCACTCCCCTAACAATGGCTATACAAATTAAGAATATCGCTTTCTTGTTGACCATTTTTTGATCTTCCAAAACTTACTAACTGAATTGTTAGTCAAGGCAAGGATGCCGACAGTCTCTTATGCTACCTGCGTTCTTCTGTTCATTTCTATTCTGCTACCACAACTTTCTACACAGAAATTCACATTTTCTTTGAAACTGTGTTGCCTCTCCAAGTTTCCAAGTCCAGCTACCTCAGACTTTGATAGGAGTCTGGGAACCATCTTGAAAACACCATGCGTTTCAGCTTCACAATAAAAGCGAAAACACAATAGCAGGGGATGTGCATTACTGCTACCGAGAAGTACCTGCGAATATTTCAATTTCAGATAAGAGAAATGCATTAGTATTTACTTCTTTAGAGTGTAGACACTGTATATAAATGCTTAATAGACATGATTATTGACAGAAAGCCGATTGCAAAGTTATATCACAGGTTGAAGCGGTGTGTTGTTATCGTTCCGTGCTAAAATTTTTCATTTTGAACATAACTTGTAGCAGAATTAAAGGGTTCAATGCTCAAGGGTCAATACCATAAAGGAGCATACGGAGATGACAAGTCAAGGAATGGATATGGCCACCTGTTTAGACAATAACAGAATTCTACCGTTAGAAAACAATGATAAATTTGATTTCATCATAGAAAGAGAACAAGAAATGATTTTACCAAAGTCTGAAAGTGGCATGGACAATCCAATGGAATAGGACATATACTATTGTCCACGCAAAGAAATATGCGATCCGGAACCAAGGAAACCTCTGAAAGAAATAACAAGAGTTTGTGAATAATTTCATTGAAAGAGCTGGAAATGATTTGTGGTTCAAGCCAGGACAGCTTACCAAGGAATTTAAAGCAGTATCACCAAGTAGGAAAACAGCATTGAGTGAGTGTATGCCGATAATCAACTGTCAATAAAAAAGAACAACGTATTGTTTAGAAAACCAAGAAAACAAGAAAATTAGTAACTAAATATTGGATTGCTGTTCATCTTTTTCTACTGAGATGCCGATATGAGAGTGTGCGTGACCGTCATATCCAAGAGTAGTATATGGTTTTACCTCTAAAATTAACACAAATTGGAGCAGTGATGATAACTTACAGCACTTAGGTGGTAATCTTTGATTGCAAGAAACGGTACAAGGATGAACCAAAAGACACTGTCTGTGAGCATAACAGCCCCAGCATTCATCTGAAATCATGAAAAATAATTGTCAACAACTTACCATATTCAAATAATTGAATCCATCTAATCAATGATGTAAACGAAGTAAAAGGGAAAATGCATAAAAGCACAGTTTTGTATCCCCTTGATTCACTGTCTTTCCTCATCTGGGTCCTAACTGAACTTTCCAAAATCAAATATGAATGTCAAGAAAGAGTAGTCCCTTGGTAAATGAGTAATGACCCTGCTTTTCAGCTCTTAGGCCTTGGTATGGAACTCTTAATTTATCATTAACAAATGAAAAGTTGAGGCCGCGTCCTCACAGGGAACTACTCGAGTACTCGTTATCATTATGGGATTGAAAATTGAACTTTCATGCCACAATAAACTAAAGTGCATGAATATTTAAACCTAGAAATTACTGCGTCAGCGCATGCAGACACTCTATGTTCTAATCCTGGACAATGAAAGGTGCTCTTTAGAGGTTCCGAATGAAAATAGCTAGTTGCCTTCAAACTTCCTCATTTGGATAAGATATAAAAGCACAATAAATTTGGCCAAATTTCATTTTCGGACAAGTTACCTGAAAAATGATTTGAAAGATGAAAGCCAATTTCCCTGCAGGTTGGCGAACATCAAGTCTTTCGTGGGAGTTTGAGCTTTTCATTGCCATGGAAGTGTTAAAACTCTGTCCAACTGATGGAGATACACATGTTCCTTGCTCTGGATCTGCCTCTACATTATCAACCCTCTTATCACCAGCTCTTTTGTGATATTGATAGCAACCTCGTATGGAGAGTAGGGAACCAAGCTACAGAAATGAGATCATCATTAAGCAGATAACAGACATAGGAAAAAACGAGACAATTAGGCACTTTAAAATAACTTGAGAGGAGGTATATCGATGACCTAGAACTTACCCCAAAATAAATTGTGACTGAAGTAAAAGTCCACCTGTTCAGGACCAAGAAAAATCACCAATCAATAACATTGAAGATAATTTGTTGAAATCAATTATTCAAATGATCAACCAATATGGATATCTTGATCTGGCTTGGCACACATGAAGGTGACTCAAATATTCCTTGGTCCTTGATGTTTCTAATGTCCATTGTGCTACAAAAGTTAGTTCATAGAAGAAAGAAAAAACTTTCCTTTTTTTTTCCTCTCACAAATAGAATGGAAAGGTAATAATATAAACAAGAAAATCCTAATTGAAATGCCAATAAAAGAACTAAACACTAACATCAAAGTATGAAATTCATCCAAAGAAAGAGATGAGCTCGAGAAAAAAGTAAAGCTTACTGAGTATAGAAGTAAAATATACTGCCTCCATCCACAAATACAGAAATGATGAGCAGCACTGAGAGAGCAAAGAAAGCAAAAAGTCTGAAAACTAGCAACCAGGCAGGGTGGATTCCTTTCAGGCATGGCCTCCAAGTTTCATCATCATAAAAAGGCGCTTCTGCTTGTTGCCTGTTCCCTCCACTCTCACGTTCCACTTCGCACCGATGTTCATTTTTCCATATAAGAATTAATGCTATCGTCATCAAGATTAAGACCCAAATAGCACAGAGGAAAAACCTCCAGTTTAACCAATAACTGGCAATGGTTGTATTGGCAGTCATGACTGGTTGCCAGGTATCCTTGGGTGATCCCGTTATAAAACTCATGCTGTCACTTGTACTTGTCTGAATGTTCAATAACTGTATATGGAATGGAATGAAGCTGATTTTGGACTCTTGTAGGTAGAATGAAACGAGATAGAGAATCAAGTGATCAACCAAAGAATGATTGGAATGGAAATTTGATTAAAAAGAAAGCTTATTGATATGAATTCCTGAGAGGAAAAGGGGAGAGAAAATTGTTATGAGAATCAATTCAAAGGGTAAAGGAAAAGAATTACTGAATTAATGTGAATAGCAGAGCAGTTCTGTGAAATTAAAGCTTTGAGCTATTGTCGGTAACGCACGAATTGGAACTACAATTCTATGAATATAAAGCGAGAAGAGTAAGTCGGTGGAAGAGCTAGCTGAAACGCGCAAATCCACTTTCAAAACACGCAAACATTCTCGAGTTCTCATCAAAACTTGAAAGCCAAGCAGAGTTTGTGCATGCCATAAATAGACTACACTTCAGAGAAGAATGAGAGAAAGTTCCTATTTGTTATAGTCGGTTGTATATATCAACATCACAACAACCAGAGAAGATTTGGCCCAATGGGGAAGTTCAAGAAAATATTAAATCCCATTTTGATTTTGACCTCACTAAAGCCTTAAACAAACCAGAAATTCCAAAGAAAGATAAAATCCATACTTATTGTATTAAAAATATGAATACACGAAAGAAGCAGCTAAATTCTAAGGGAAGGAAAGGTTGATGCTTACAGGGGAAAGCAAGAACAATGTGATGGTGTGTAAGAGCCTGCAAGAAGATGCTTTGCTTCTTTACTTTGGAAAGAAAACTAAATAAAGGAGCTAAATATTAAAAAGAAAAAAGAAGAAAAAGAGAGGAGATAAATGTGTGTGTGTATAGAGAGAGAGAGAGGATGAAAGGATGGCCTGCTTTGAGCATAAGCTTCTCTCCTTTTCAATTATTATTATTATTTCAAGAAAAGAAAAGAAAAATCTTGAAAATAGACCAGACACTTTGCACAGTAGCATCGTCCTCTTTACATGCATGCAAATATAAAATTGTTAAAAACATTCAGGTTTTTGTCACCTTTTTCTTGGATTTCCAGCCTTTTTTTGGGTCTTTTCAAGTTTTTCTTGATATTGCTTAATTACTACCATTTTTTAAAGAGAGACAGGGGCAAGACACTAAATTATTTGGATACTGTGTTGAACTGCATGAGCTTTTCGAGAACAAGAATGGTGATTGTGCATGGGATGCCAACTGCCAACAAGGGAATAAAGCAACCCTGTATTTGGAAAGGACATTGGAGAGTGTAGCTTCAGATCTGGAGACTGGAGCTATTGTCTTTCCGAGTTCTGAATTTTGACTAATGACTTCGTAAGCACCCATTTGAGCTATAATTAACTTGAAGATTAACAGCCTAAACAAAGAAAACCCTTCGTTTTGGGAACATTTGTTAGGGCGATTACGGGCACATTGGGCCTTACTAATCATATAATATAATACAAATAGAAATTATGATGTTAGCTTTTAGCCATCATGTTGAAGCAAGAGATCGGTGTTTGACGGGTGGTCTTTGGGTGGGGACCCCTGGCCCCACCTTGACCTGGATTTTGCGGGGCTGTGTGACCGGAAAATGGTCACAGCTTCCCGCACAAGATGCTGACTTTCATACTGAGGGGTGGAGTGGTGGTCAAGCAAGCAGATGAACTTGTTAGGAAGAATCTTGATTGGCTTGTAAATGAGGTTGCAAATTCTGAGAATAATACGTGAAGCACGGGATTTTGTTTTGGGTGATAAAAGGGGTGATTTGATTTGCATTACCCGCGGGTGGTGACCACATTGTCTTTTTAACTTTCAGATGCCCCCTCCCAACATCACCGGCTTTTTCGCACCGTGTTTTTTTAAAGACTATATATATATAAATGAAAAATATTTTTTAAAAAATAAAAAATATTATTTTAATTTATTTTTAATAAAAAATATTTTAAAAAATAATTATTACTATATAATGAAACAGTTCCCTAAACTTTTACTATTTAACTAGTCATGAGAGAGGAATAAAAGAGGAAAAAGGAATGAAATGAAACGGGACCGAAAGCAAGAACGAAAAAGAAATGAGTCAGGAGGGAAATATTACACAGTTTTATTTATTTATTTATAATTTTGGCCGCCATTGATAACTCATGCCTAGGGCTTTTCCTTTATCCTAGTTTTCTTGTGATGTATAATGTTGTAATAACGTGGAGGTGGAAGGGGGGATGAGGGGCCCACATTCATGGAAGGAAGCTTGAAAACAGTGGAAGATAATAAGATTCGGACAAGCTTGGTTGCCAAGCAAGAACAATACATTAGCCACACGCTATGTACAATTTAACTTTACAATAATGTCGAGGTATTAATTATTGAAAAACGTTAGGGTTCTGGTAATAGAAGGGAAGCAGCCAATCCTTCCTATGTCCACCTAGCTAGCAACGTGTGAGGTACTATATGTATTTTAATAGATGAAATTAATTGGATCCTTCCATGCTATTTCAAGAGAATGTTCCTTTACCCTTTAAAATTGTCTTTTATATATATATATATATATATATATATGTATTTTATTTATTTATTTATGATTTTAAAAAGATTGTAAGAGAAGCAAGCCATGCGGATAACATGGGGGATTTTATGTCAGATGGGAAAAAACGACAACACTTGATAATAATTTCTTAACGCTACCATAAATAATGCAATATCAGTTAGCATGTAAGGAAAAATATTGTGGATTTATGTAGTTTATTAATTAATTAATTTTTATTGCACTGAATAACTACCTTGCTAGGGGTAGAGTCGTTTGTTCTGGGAATCAAAATAACAAAATGTTATTCGTCAATTGATCAAGAAACAATTTAGTCATTTAATGTTTTTTATATATAGTAAACTTGTTTAGGCTTTTGTGTATTTATAATTTTATTTGTATAATTAAATGACGATGGTATCTTAAAAACTAAAAAATATTGACCCTGCAAAGTGGGTTTTTTTTCTTTACATATTATATTTTTTTATAATTAAATGACATTTCTAACCTTTAATTTAAAAACATTTAAGCCTGGTTTGAGAGGGTATTTTTGTTTTTGCTGCATGTTCTTTTTGTAATATAAGATGCTTTTAGGGGTATTTTAATAATTTTAATTATTAAAATTTTAATAAATTAATATAAAAAAATGATGTATACACGCGTCAGTATACCATCATCCCCTACACCAAACTATAGATATGTAGGATGTATTCCAATAGATAAAATTTATTAAATACCATTTCATATGACATGTCACGTGACAACGTAGCTGTTGAAATAACAAGTTAGGTTTGGTTAACAGCGGTTCAACAAAGATAAAAGTTTTTTCTTAACCTTTTTTTTTTCTCTCTTGTGCCCTAGTATTCATGCCGAGCATTTAAAAACTTAACTGTGCCTTTTAGTTTATATTTATTTTAAAGTTGGTCTTTATTATTTTGATTTTTATTTGTTTTGATTTTAGTACTTCTTGAAGCTTTTTTATTTTAATTTCATCTCTTTGAATTTATTTAATTTAATAATTTTATCTAATTTGATCTTTGTTCTTTTGATTACTTTTCTTTATGCTTTGCATTAATTTTATTTTATTTTGTCCTTTAGAATTTAACTTAATTTAATTTTGTTTCCAATTTTGGTGCTCATTTTTTATTGCTCATCTTTTTAGCATTTTCTTTATTTATTTATTTTTTCAATTTAATCCCTAATTATTTGTGTTTAATTATTTTTTATGCAAGATTTAGTTTTTTTTCTTTTTATTCTATTTTTCAATTTTTTTATAATTGAGAATTTTGCTTCATTATTTTTTCTTGTTTGTCTTCTACAATCATGACCCAGTCCAACAGTTTTGATAATTAACTTGATTTAAGTTTGTCTGTTTTTAAGTTCTCTTTAATTTTATTTTATTTTCATCGTTTAAAATTGACTTGTTAGGCCTTGAGTTTCTTTAGTTGTTTTACTCTTCTTCTTTTTTTAAGTTATTCCTATCTTATATGTCAGGTTAGAGGTTATTAAAGTTAAACTGGTTTGTTTCGGGTTTTTTTTTGTTCATCATCCAATTTTTTTCTCACTTTTGATGGGACTTTTTGACTTTTTAAAAGTAACACGGGTTATCTCGAGTTTTATTTTTGTCTTTGCTAGATTTACCTCTTTTAGAAGGAATTTTTTTAATTAGATTAAATTAATTTATTTTATCCTTTGACATTAAATCGACTTGATATTACCTTAGTTTTTTGGTGCAGATCTTGCTCTTTTAAAAAGAATTTTTTTGTAATTAAATTAATTTATCTCACTCTTCAACATTAGATTTGTTTTATATTGAGATTCTTAGTTGAGTATAGGTTTGGAATTTAATGGTTCAGCTTGGTGGTTGACCCGACTAAGGGGCTGAGTCCCAATTTACCCGAATTGACCCAGGTTAACCTGAGAAAAAAAATATTTGAGATTTTAATATCCCATATTAAAAATTAAAAAACAATCAATGTAGATGTAAGCTATATATCTTGTAAATAATAAAATTTAAAAGATTATTTCAAAAAAAATTATAGAAAGATATTATCTTTTCTTTTTAAATTGTAGTTAAACCAAAATAATTTATTATCCTATATTGAAAAAACATAATTTGTTTTTTGTGAATATAAAGTATATATATTAATCGGCTTCCAATTTCGTATTGAAAAAATAAAACTTTCTTCTAGTATTTATAAAATGAACTTTAATATGAGATAGTAACCAACAAAAAAAAATGATATGCTCAGATGTATAAGGTTAGATCGAGAAAGAGAAAAACATTTAATTGTCTTCTCTATGCATGAGACAACACTTATGCTTTCTAGACCTATTATCTTCAATAATAATTTGTTTTTATTCTTTTAATTGAAACCAGTAATAGTTTGTTTTTATCCTTTTAATTGAAATCATAACTTTAACTCATTCAATTACTTTTCTCAACTATTTTTTTATTAATTATTGTAACAAACATGTGAGGCTAGGTATTTATAGTTTTATGTTGGGTCACCCGAGTTTAAGGTTAACTTGGAAAGTCTCGTGGGTTTTACTAGGTCAATTGCAAGCCCGAGTTTTATATACTTTAAACCTAATCAGGGCTCCAGGTCACCTAGGTTTTTAGTCAATTTGTTGTGACATGTCAAGTTTAATTGCTATGTTAATGAGTGGATGTTGCTCGTGCTTTTAAAGGACAGCGTGTGACATCTTATGACAACCCAAAAGTCCCAACCATCATGTTGTCCCTGGCGTCTAGTTGAGGCGCAATTGATGAGTAGTGTGTGTTCTGCAATTCATAATGGTTTGATAATTATGAGATTTTTTCTCCCCCCTCTCTTTTATCTCTTCTCTCTTTGATATTCATGTTAGGTCATTCAAAATTTAGGATTGTCCATCCTATTTACTTTATCTTTCAATTTTGGTCCTTTTTTTTTAAATTGTTTTAGATTTTTTTTTAATTTCATCCATTTCCATTTTATTTTTTTAATTTTTATATCAAATATGGTAATTATTCTTTTAATTGTTTTTTATCCTTTTCTTCATTTGTTGTTTTTCAATTTTTTTCCTCAATATTTTTAATTCATTAATTTTTTATCCAAATTTGATCCTCATTCTTTTAATTTCTTCTTTTTTAATCATTTTTATAATTTACTTTTTCTTTAAGTTTTTCCTTCAATATTTTATTTCATTAATGTTTTTATCCAATTGTGATCCTTTTCTTTTAATTTCTTTTTTTATCCTTT